AGAGATGTAAATACGCCCATGAAATGTTGTCTAATGTTTTTACTGTTCCCGACGAATCCATAAAAACGAAATTTGCGACAATTATATTCAAACGGGATAAATATTTACACGAAAAACCGGTACCGCACGTGTTAACAAAGTCAAGTCAACAAATTCGGAAAGAACCGCACAGTGAAAGTTGCTAAACTTAATAACACAATAAAGTTAACTCGAATCGAACAAGAAGTAATAAATATCACAGTGAATGGTTTGAAAATGTTACACGAATTTGTTTCCGTGAAATAACGCATATATTTAGTTACATTTTATGTTCTTATAAAAAGAACTGCTCAACCTGGAAACTTTAAATTTGGCATAAACTAAATTCTAACATTGGTTTATAACCTCAAAAAGTTTGAAGTTTTAATTCCTAAAAGTTTGGGAGAAACAAAGATTTTTGTGATTATTGCCCAAAAACGACAAATTTAAATTAGAGGTTTTTCAAGTTCTTATAAAAAGAGCCGCTTAACCTGGAAACTTTAAATTTGGCATAACCTAACCTCTAACATTGATTTATAACCCCAAAAAGTTTCAAGTTTTAATTCCTAAAAGTTTGGGAGAAACAAAGTTTTTTTGTGATTATTGTCAAAAACGTCAAATTTAAACCGGCGATTTTGAAAGCTTTTATAAAAAGAACTGCTCAACCTGGAAACTTTAAATTTTCCATAACATAACCTCTAACACTGATTTATAACCTCACAAAGTTTCAAGTTTTAGTTCCTAAAAGTTTGGGAGAAACAAAGTTTTCTGTGATTATTGCTTAAAAATGTCAAATTTACGTCAGAGGTTTTAAAAGCTTTTATAAAAAGAACTACTCAACCTGGAAACTTTAAATTTGGCATAACCTAACCTCTAACACTGATTTATAACCCCAAAAAAATTCAAGTTTTAATTCCTAAAAGTTTCGGAGTAACAAAGTTTTTTGTGATTATTGCCCAAAAACGACAAATTTAAATTGCAGATTTTTAAAGTTCTTACAAAAAGAGCCGCCCAACCTGGTAACTTTAAATTTGGCATAATCTAACGTCTAACGCTAATTTATAACCCCAAAAAGTTTCAAGTTTTAAGTCCTAAAAGTTTGGTAGAAACAAAGTTTTTTGTGATTATTGTCAAAAACATCAAATTTAAACCGGCGATTTTGAAAGCTTTTATAAAAAGAATTGCTCAACCTAGAAACTTTAAATTTGGCATAACCTGACCTCTAACACTGATTTATAACCTCACAAAGTTTCAAGTTTTAGTTCCTAAAAGTTTGGGAGAAACAAAGTTTTTTGTGATTATTGCTTAAAAATGTCAAATTTACGTCAGAGGTTTTAAAAGCTTTTATAAAAAGAACTACTCAACCTGGAAACTTTAGATTTGGTATAACCTAACCTCTAACACTGATTTATAACACCAAAAAAATTCAAGTTTTAATTCCTGAAAGTTTGGGTGAAATAAAGTTTTTTGTGATTATTGCCCAAAAACGACAAATTTAAATTAGAGGTTTTTAAAGTTCTTATAAAAAGAGCCGCCTAACCTGGTAACTTTAAATTTGGCATAACCTAACCTCTAACACTGATTTATAACCCCAAAAAGTTTCAAGTTTTAATTCCTAAAAGTTTGGGAGAAACAAAGTTTTTTGTGANTCTCACTCATAAAGGACACTGAGATTGGAAAGCACAGTAAGAATTCAGCGTGAGACAACACTGTCATGTATACTTGATGAAAAAGATCCAAAAAACCCTAAGTATAACTAACAGTAATCTTGGAACGGGCTAATTGTAAGACTTACAATGGGTTGTCATGCCAATGATGATGATGCAGCAATGGATATTACAAGATTTAAAAGAAAATTTGTATCTAATTTAAAGATAAAGGATAAAGAATAATTAAAGAAACAATACCGAATATAAAGGATAAAAGAAATGAGTTATAAATTAAGTTATCCTGACCTGATCGCCTGAGTGCGCCATCTGATGTTGCAGTCTTGTCTTGACTCCACATTCATTAGATCATCTGCACTGTGAATAATCTTTTTCTTATCCTTGGCCAGGGAGATGTAAATACACCCATCAAATGTCCAGGTATTCGATATTCCTTCCTTCTCCCCGACGTTGGAAAACAGCTGTTGGGAGAGTGCTTCTTGTAGTTTCGCTTCAAAGACACGAACCGCACCAATGTTGTGTAATGTTTTTACTGTTCCCGAAGAACCCATAATAAACGAAATTTGCGACAATTATATTCAAACGGGATAAATATTTACACGAAAAACCGGTCACGCACGTGTCAACAAATTGGGAAAGAACCGCACAGTTAAAGTTGCTAAACAGGTACTTAATAACACAATAAAGTTAACTCGAATCGAACAAGAAGTAATCAATATTACAAAGAATGGTTTGAAAATGTTACACGTCAAATTTAAACAGGCGATTTTGAAGGCTTTTATAAAAAGAATTGCTCAACCTAGAAACTTTAAATTTGGCATAACCTGACCTCCAACACTAATTTATAACCCCAAAAAGTTTTAAGTTTTAATTCCTAAAAGGTTGGGAGAAACAAAGACTTTTGTGATTATTGTCAAAAACGTCAAATTTAAACCGGTGATTTTGAAAGCTTTTATAAAAAGAACTGCTCAACCTGGAAACTTTAAATTTGGCATAACCTAACCTCTAACACTGATTTATAATCCCAAAAAGTTTCAAGTTTTAATTCCTAAAAGTTTGGGAGAAACAAAGTTTTTTGTGATTATTGTCAAAAACGTCAAATTTAAACCGGCGATTTTGAAAGCTTTTATAAAAAGAACTGCTCAATTTGGAAACTTTAAATTTGGCATAACCTAACCTCTAACGCTAATTTATAACCTCAAAAAGTTTCAAGTTTTAATTCCTAAAAGTTTGGGAGAAACAAAGTTTTTTGTGATTATTGCCCAAAAACGACAAATTTAAATTGCAGATTTTTAAAGTTCTTATAAAAAGAGCCGCCCAACTTGGTAACTTTAAATTTGGCATAACCTAACCTCCAACATTAATTTATAACCCCAAAAAATTTCAAGTTTTAATTCCCTAAAGTTTGGGAGTAACAAAGTTTTTTGTGATTATTGTCAAAAACGTCAAATTTAAACCGGCGATTTTGAAAGCTTTTATAAAAAGAACTGGTCAACCTGGAAACTTTAAATTTGGCATAACCTGACCTCTAACACTGATTTATAACCCCAAAAAGTTTCAAGTTTTAAGTCCTAAAAGTTTGGGAGAAACAAAGCTTTTTGTGATTATTGTCAAAAACGTCAAATTTAAACCGGCGATTTTGAAAGCTTTTATAAAAAGAACTGCTCCACCTGGAAACTTTAAATTTAGCATAACCTAACCTCTAATACTGATTTATAACCTCAAAAAGTTTCAAGTTTTAATTCCTAAAAGTTTGGGAGAAACAAAGTTTTTTGTGATTATTATCAAAAACGTCAAATTTAAACCGGCGATTTTGAAAGCTTTTATAAAAAGAACTGCTCAACCTGGAAACTTTAAATTTGGCATAACCTAACCTCCAACATTAATTTATAACCCCAAACAATTTCAAGTTTTAATTCCTTAAAGTTTGGGAGTAACAAAGTTTTTTGTGATTATTGTCAAAAACGTCAAATTTAAACCGGCGATTTTGAAAGCTTTTATAAAAAGAACCGCTCAATCTGGAAACTTTAAATTTGGCATAACCTAACCTCTAACGCTAATTTATAACCCCAAAAAGTTTCAAGTTTTAATTCCTAAAAGTTTGGGAGAAACAAAGTTTTTTGTGATTATTGTCAAAAACGTCAAATTTAAACCGGTGATTTTGAAAGCTTTTATAACAAGAACTGCTCAACCTGGAAACTTTAAATTTAGCATAACCTAACCTCTAACACTGATTTATAACCCCAAAAAATTTCAAGTTTTAATTCCTAAAAGTTTGGGAGAAACAAAGTTTTTTGTGATTATTGTCAAAAACGTCAAATTTAAACCGGCGATTTTGAAAGCTTTTATAACAAGAACTGCTCAACCTGGAAACTTTAAATTTGGCATAACCTAACCTCTAATACTGATTTATAACCCCAAAAAATTTCAAGTTTTAATTCCTAAAAGTTTGGGAGAAACAAAGTTTTTTGTGATTATTGTCAAAATCGTCAAATTTAAAAGCTTTTATAAAAAGAACTGCTCAACTTGGAAACTTTAAATTTGGTATCACTTAACTTCTAACACTAATTTATAACTCCAAAAAATTTCAAGTTGCAATTTCTAAAAGTTTGGGAGAAACAAAGTTTTCTGTGATTATTGCCCAAAAACGTCAAATTTAAATATATAATACCTTAAAGGTAAAGGATTGTATCTCCATCATTTTAGATTTTTAGAAAACAAGGTAATATAATACTATTATAATAAGTTTTATAATAATTAACTCGATATTGACAAAAAGTGGAGTTACTTTCCTTTACCCCTAAGGTACAGATATAGAGTTCTTTTTTAAAGAAAAGTTGTAAGGAATTTACCACAAATATTTACCACGTGCCGAAATTAACACACATATGTTATTTTAATTGGAATGATATAGTTTTATATAAACGAATTTTATATTTTATGGTTTATCACAAATCAACTGTCAAATTTGACAGAAAGTGCTACCACACATATATAATAAAAGTCACTAAACAAAGTTACATAATTTTGACATTTAACTTAAAAAAACTAAATATTCTAAAACCTGCATTCGATTTAGATATAAATTTTAACAAAATCGATACATAATTATTTAACATAATAAAATCACGTGTTTCCCCGGGTTACAAGTTTTGAGTATTAAGTTGTTACACAACGTAAACGGCAACGTCGCGCCCGTCTTGGCGCCAGTTTTGCAACGCTTGCGCTTTGAAGCGACGTCGACGTTTTCGGGGGCCCCACTCTTTTTCTCTCCTCAGCGCTCGTACGGCTGCTCGGGTTCGGGTTCTCTGGGGCGACACGATAGCGAGATACGCAATCGGTTTAGTCGCGAAACTTTCTACGCAGAACGAACGTCGCCGTCGTCGCCGAGCGTTCGCCGCTCTACGTCTCTCGTCCAAAAAACGCGTGATCTTACCAAACAAAAACGGTAGATACAGATAGATATCACGTCGAAATACTCTATCAAAAAGTTTATTCTAAACGACCTGTATCAACAATGACTGTGACTATTCACGTGACGTCATTAAAATTTGTTTAAGTGATCTCGGGTTGTTTAAAATTATTTTACTTTTTTATTCGAAAAAATTTTAAGTGATGATTAATTTTCAAAGATTGTGATTTGAATATTGATTCTATCTTAGTGTGGATAAGTGTTAATAATAAATTTGTTTATAAATTAATATATTTATGGACCTTTGGACTCCAAATTCTATAATGGACCAAATCGGTGATTTTGAAGGCGGTTTTGAGCCTCAAAGCAGGGCTCGGTGTAACACGTGGCCGTTACCGCGGCCTGAAAACTACGTCGAACCGCAGGAGGACGGCAGCGGCAACAAGTTGCCCTCGGGCCTTCCTGTGCCGACTCCGGCGGCCGTTCCTGCTAAGAAAAACTCCAGCAGGAGAAACGCATGGGGAAACCTCAGCTACGCCGATTTGATTACTCAAGCAATCACTTCAGCAACAGATAAACGTCTCACCCTTTCGCAAATCTACGAGTGGATGGTTCAAAACGTGCCCTATTTTAAGGATAAGGGTGATAGTAACTCTTCAGCAGGATGGAAGGTGAGTTTCGAAATTTAAACCGGTTTTTCTTTAACTCGTGTGTTCTCTTTTTCTTTATAATCACCAAAAAAAATTTTTTTGACGTTTCGAAATGTCAAAATGACGTTTCATTTTCTAGATGTCATTTTAAACGTCAAAATAAAATTTCTAAATTTTAATTAAAATCGAAAAAGAATTAAATATAAACTTAATTAAGAGTTAATCTCGTTTCTTTGAACAAAACAAATTAGAATTACGTCATTAACACACAAAAAATATAAAAAAAAAAAAAATATGATAGATAACGTGTTTGTTTGAAATTTACTATGATGTCGTTGATGTGATATGATGCGAGATATGCATAAAAAGATAAATTTGACTTATAACTACTTTATTTATTTATTTATTTTTTTTTAAATAAAAAATTTCCATTCAACGTCACCAAAGTCTTAATACATGCTTGGAATTGGAGTGATGACGTCGTCTTGAATACGAGATATGCAATCGTGTATTGCATAGTTTCGGATTGATTACACCCAAAAAATGAATTAAATCGATTTATTTTTTTGCTTTATTGATATTTAAACAAAAGAAAAATAAACAAAAAGGGTTGTATAATTTCATTAACATTTAATGGTCACAATGGTTTTTGGAATTTCGGATCTCCGTCTCTCTCGGTCTGTGACGTTGCTATTTATTATTATTTTGTTGTGGAGGCATTATGCAAAATCGGATTCAAATGAATGCGTGTCCGGTACGATGTAGAAAAATCCGCTGCTGAATATTAATTTTCGCCAATTCTGTTTTTAATATTTATATTCCTTATAAATAGAAAAGTGTGCATGCATAAACAAAGTGGACGCGCTTTTATCCTTCTCATAAAGCCGAATTAAATTTTTCAAAAATGAGTTAATACCATACTAAGGTACTGGGAGCAACTATTTTAATTGCTTTTTTATAAAAAAACCGTTCAAGCTGAAAGTTTGAACACTGATTTGCATCACAAAAAGTTTCATGTTTTAATTCCTTAAAGTTTGGTATTATTGCCCAAAATCGTCTAATTTAAATCTGAGATTTTTAAAGTTTTTATAAAAAGAACCCCCCAAACTGGAATCTTTAAATTTGGTGTAATCTAACTTCCAACATTAATTTATAACTCAAAAAAATTTCAAGTTTTAATTCTTTAAAGTTTGGGAGTAACAAAGTTTTTTGTAATTATTGTCAAAAACGTCAAATTTAAACCGGCGATTTTGATAGCTTTTATAAAAAGAACCCCCCAACCTGGTAACTTTAAATTTGGCATAACCTAACCTCCAACATTAATTTATAACCCAAAAAAATTTCAAGTTTTAATTCCTTAAAGTTTAGGAGTAACAAAGCTTTTTGTGATTATTGTCAAAAATTTCAAATTTAAACCGGCGACTTTGAAAGCTTTTATAAAAAGAATTGCTTAACCTGGAAACTTTAAATTTGGCATAATCTAACCTCCAACATTAATTTATAACCCCACAAAATTTATATGTTTTAATTCCTTAAAGTTTGGGAGAAACAAAGTTTTTTGTAATTATTGCCCAAAAACGTCAAATTTAAACCGGCGATTTTGAAAGCTTTTATAAAAAGAATTGCTTAACCTGGAAACTTTAAATTTGGCGTAACCTAACTTCCAACATTAATTTATAACCCAAAAAAATTTCAAGTTTTAATTCCTTAAAGTTTGGGAGCAACAAAGTTTTTTGTGATTATTGTCAAAAACGTCAAATTTCAACCGGTGATTTTGAAAGCTTTTATAAAAAGAATTGCTTAACCTAGAAACTTTAAATTTTGCGTAACCTAACTTCCAACATTAATTTGTAACCTCAAAAAATTTCAAGTTTTAATTCCTTAAAGTTTGGGAGTAACAAAGTTTTTTGTGATTATTGTCGAAAACGTCAAATTTAAATCGGCGATTTTAAAAGCTTTTATAAAAAGAATTACTCAACCTGGAAACTTTAAATTTGGCGTAACCTAACCTCCAACATTAATTTATAACCTCAAAAATTTTCAAGTTTTAATTCCTTAAAGTTTGGGAGTAACAAAGTTTTTTGTGATTATTGTCAAAAACATCAAATTTAAACCGGCGATTTTGAAAGCTTTTATAAAAAGAACTACTCAACCTGGAAACTTTAAATTTGACATAACCTCACCTTCAACATTAACTTATAACCCCAAAAAATTTCAAGTTTTAATTCCTTAAAGTTTAGGAGTAACAAAGTTTTTTGTAATTATTGTCAAAAACGTCAAATTTAAACCGGCGACTTTGAAAGTTTTTATAAAAAGAACTACTCAACCTGGAAACTTTAAATTTGGCATAACCTAACCTAAAACATTAATTTATAACCCCAAAAAATTTCAAGTTTTAATTCCTTAAAGTTTGGGAGTAACAAAGTTTTTTGTGATTATTGTCAAAAATGTCAAATTTAAACCAGCGATTTTGAAAGCTTTTATAAAAAGAATTGTTCAACCTGGAAACTTTAAATTTGACATAACCTCACCTTCAACATTAATTTATAACCCCAAAAAATTTCAAGTTTTAATTCCTTAAAGTTTGGGAGTAACAAAGTTTTTTGTGATTATTGTCAAAAACGTCAAATTTAAACCGGCGATTTTGAAAGCTTTTATAAAAAGAACTACTCAACCTGGAAACTTTAAATTTGGCGTAACCCAACCTCCAACATTAATTTATAACCCCACAAAATTTCAAGTTTTAATTCCTGAAAGTTTGGTAGTAACAAAGTTTTTTGTGATTATTGTCAAAAACGTCAAATTTAAACCCTCGATTTTGAAAGCTTTTATAAAAAGAACTGCTCAACCTGGAAACTTGAAATTTGGTATAACCTCACCTTCAACATTAATTTATAACCCCAAAAAATTTCAAGTTTCAATTTCTTAAAGTTTGGGAGTAACAAAGTTTTTTGTGATTATTGTCAAAACCGTCAAATTTAAACCGGCGATTTTGAAAGCTTTTATAAAAAGAACTGCTCAACCTGGAAACTTTAAATTTGGCATAATCTAACCTGTAACGGTAATTTATAAGCCCAAAAAGTTTCAAGTTTTAATTCCTAAAAGTTTGGAAGAAACAAAGTTTTTTGTGATTATTGTCAAAAACGTCAAATTTAAACCGGCGATTTTGAAAGCTTTTATAAAAAGAACTGCTCAACCTTGTAACTTTAAATTTGGCATAACCTAACCTTCAACACTAATTTATAATTCCAAAAAGTTTCAAGTTTCAATTAATCTCTCGTTTTTAAAAAACCGAAAATCTATATACATATGTGTATAACAAGGTTTCAATAGATTTCGTTATCTAAAAAAGGATGATAGCAAAGTATTAAATCTAAAAGATGATAAAGTCGAGTAAATAAAGTTTTTTGTTTCATACTTGATAAAACTATTTCATTTAAAACAAAATTAATATGTACAATTTTTTTCTATTAATAAATAATTTTCAAGGTAAAGCATAAAGCACACACGTTTAATGGTGTATAATGTGTGTATTATAAGAAAATAGATAAGAATTTTCGCCGTTTCTGTCTGTTGGTAAAGGAAACTGACGGCCTTAGTGTTACGCAAGTCGAGGTAAGACGCATACCATCATTAAAGCAACTTCAATGTCAAGTCGTGACAGACAAAATAGACTTGCTACCGTACTAGTAACTAAATAACGTTATAAATGAGTTGTATGTTAATACAATTTTGCATGAGTTGCGCAGGTTTAATCGGAAAACTCCACATAAATTCATAAATAGTTAAGAATAATTTAGAAAGTGGAATGGATTAATGAACAAAAATAGTGTCGCCGATTTTGAATGAATTCACTCCACATATTTTAGTAAAGTTGGAAATGTTTTTCTCGAACTTCATCGCTTTTTCGCTTTGTGTAAAATCATTTTTATATTTTATGAGTGCACACGATGACATTGACTATTTTAGTTGATAAATCGCTCGCTTAAATATTCAACGGCGTATAAAAATTGAAATTCCTTGATGCATAATTGAAACATTTTCGATATATTTTTTTTTTTTTTCCAAACCGCATCATTTATGCGGCTGCAAAAAGAAAGGAATAAATAAAATAAAATTAAAATATAATAATAGAAACGTATAATTTTATATTTACGTAAAATGGCCCTACAATTAATCACGACCGTGTAATTTGTTTAAAATTGCCAACAATAATTGGTGCGATAATTAAACGAAATAAGCGAGATCAAATTATATCCGTTGGTAAATTAAAAGAAATCAAAGTTTTCCGATGCTATTTTTGTATTGATAGTCAATTATTAAAATTAAATAATCAAAAAAATGTTTATTTAATATTTAGATGTACACAAAAAAATGTTTTTACTTCCAAAATTTCAGGAATTGAAACTTGAAACGTTTTGGAGTTATAAATCAGTGTTGAAGGTTAGGTTATGTCAAATTTAAAGTTTTTAGGTTGAGCAATTCTTTTTATAAAAGCTTTCAAAATCGCCGGTTTAAATTTGATGTTTTTGACAATAGTCACAAAAAATTTTGTTTCTGACAAACTTTTACGAATTAAAACTTGGAACTTTTTTGGGTTATAAATTAATGTTGGAGGTTAGGTTATGCAAAATTTAAAGTTTCCAGGTTGAGCAGTTCTTTTTATAAAAGCTTTCAAAATCGCCGGTTTAAAATTGACGTTTTTAACAATTATCACAAAAAGCTTTGTTTCTCCCAAACTTTTAGGAATTGAAGATTGAAACTTTTTGTGGTTGTAAATCGGTGTTAGAGGTTAGGTTGTGCCAAATTTAAAGATTCCTGGTTGAGCAGTTCTTTTTATAAACGCTTTCAAAATCGCCGGTTTAAATTTGACGTTTTTAACAATTATCACAAAAAGCTTTGTTTCTCTCAAACTTTTAGGAATTGAAGCTTGAAACTTTTTGGGGTTGTAAATCGGTGTTAGAGGTTAGGTTATGCCAAATTTAAGGTTTCCATGTTGGGGGGTTCTTTTTATAAAAACT